TTTAAACGGAACGAGCGAAAGGAGTGGGAAACCCGTCCTCCCCCCGGACGAAATTAATGTAATAATAGATAAGAAGTGTGGTTTTGAATCGATGATCTATTGCGAAATTTCTCAAATGTTTTTTTGCAAATTGCCGTTTAGTTCTGACAAACGATTAATAACCAGAGTAAATGGCACATAAAAAGCTGATTTATGGATGGAAGCAATCTGCGTTTAGGAAAATCTTGCCAATATCCTACATTAAAATTAACTTAGGGGGAAAATATTAAAATTACTCGCTTTTAAGTGATTTGGAAATTTTACAGCTTTGTTTTCGATTTACCGTCGTTCTTACAATAATCGACCATTAGGTAATTTAAGTCGCAGTTATTTATTTCCTCACGTAGGTACACGTAAGGCGGAAGATATCACCAATCTGTACGGAGCAATTCTGTTACTAAGATTCACATCTTCACGACAGCTGTGGTTATGTACGAGGGGTTATTCGCTGTGGCTTTCGGTTACATACAGTACTCGTTTCTTAAAATTTTTCTATGGGCACAATGAGGGCCATTTAATAGGTAATGAGACAAATTGCCGGAATACTTTTCTACGTAGTCCCTACGGTTCTCTTAATTTGCTTACTACCCCTACCATACAATGCTTTAGGTCGATCTTCAAAATAAATTTTGTTAGAAATCGAGCACTGTGGAAACAGCTGATCGGAGAGTATGTAGATATCATCAATCTGTACGGATCTGTGATGCTTCTCGTGCATGGCAGATAGAAAAATGTGGATTTGCGTGAACGGAAAGGAATCTTATTATCCAACTCGGGTTTTCACCATCATTTATATAAAACTAATAGCAAAAGGTGTTCTTGCCCGACAATAAAACGATGTGCTTTAACGGTGGCGTAAAGGCGCGCGGATACAGAAACGATTAAAACAGGCCAATCAACGTCTCTGATAACGAGTGCCGGAAGGGTTGTCGTTATCTCAGATGCGATTCCTATGCAAATCATTCTAAGGCACTTTTGATTATTCCCTTTCTGATGGGGCAGTATTTTAAAGGTTGAAGAGTTACGCGAGCCCGTATAAAATTGGTCGAGAATTAGTCACGCACGGTCTGGCGACAAATTAAAGAAATGGCGATAAATATCGGTCTAGTTTACACAGTTAACAGCTCGAGGTAGTTATTTTTTAATATCGCTAATAACTCAAAAGTGCACGCAGAGAAAATCGCCTTGATTGGCGACCTTTTTCCCGTAATTTATAATATTATTACTTGGCACGCATCTGAAAGTGATAAATTTCGAACGCCGTCATATTTTCAATTAATTTACGAAAAACTACATTTCGCCTGATAAATACATTAAACCCGCGGGTGCCGATCCTGTCCCAAAATCCCCGGCTACAATAAATTTACAAGATTAACCGTGCGCGCACAACTTCTAATTAAATTAAAAACGACCTTGAGGTAATCGAGAGGATGTAATTGTAGAAATAAAAAAATAAAACGAAGACGGAACTCGACCAAAATCAAGAAAAACGAGTCCGTCCTCCGGCCTCCCCCATTAATTTTACTCCATTCTTTATTAAAGCAATCCGTCTTGGTAGGTAAAAATCCGAAGGATAAATCAAAAGTCAAACTTTGTTATTTCATCAATCATTGTCGGGAAAATCTCGACTGTAATAATACAGCTATACGGAATTTTGTCAATAACGAAATTCGCACTTGCCACGCAATTTCGTTAAGAGAATGATTGGAAAGGACTTACAAAGTAATGTCTTCACCACAAAAATATATTCCTCCTGATAAAACACGCTCCATTAGGATCATAAATGATATACTTAACTTTTGGAAATTAGTGTACCAGAATCACAGAAACAAAGTGCCAAAATCATTAGCAAACACTTCCTCACCTATTATGTTTTCTTATGTCATGTTTTTTAAGTTAAATAATCCCAGTGAAGGGGATAAGAGAGACGCCATATTGCAAACCAACGTTACTCCTAAAAAATGACAAATTAGGCATTTCAAAATTTCCAAAAAAAGAATTTTTTTCTACGGCCTCAAAAAAAGGCAGTACCTTCTTTTTTTACCAAAAATCGACTGCTCCAAAATTTCTCGCGAAAACACTTTTTCTCACTAATTTTGGTGCGTAGAATCCAAAACGATTCGTACTTTTTCGATCAGACCTCTCAACTAAATACAAATTTCGACAAACATATATATACAGTGTGTCCCAGATCGAGTGGGATTGCATGGGTAACTTTGTTATTATTAAGGATAGAGAATTGGTTTAATGGGCAATGTTTTGCAGTTTTAGATGCTTATTTAAAATTTTCTTTTGGAAATTCAAAATGTCGCATAGGTTCGACGTAAATTCAAAAAAACTAAAATTGGTCATTTCCTTGAATGTCTTATATCATCGAAAGTATAAGAGATATAAAAAAAAGTTTTATATAAAAGTTACTGTCTTTGATACGTTTAATTTAGAATTGATGTCAAAAAAAAATTCAAGATGGCTACTTTTGAGGAACATTTACCAACTTCCTAAAGTTAAATAGGCGCCATATGGGATTTTTAGATTACTTGATATATTTTTTAATTCTCTTTTCAACGAGCCATCATAAAATAAGATTGAAAATAAGATACCAGTTATATTAACGGTTTTTATATTTTAATCAAGTAGGCTGTGATGAATTAAAAAAAAACAAAACAAAATCTATTCGAGGCAGAAAACAATGAAAATAATTACATCAAATGTTTAAAAAAATCAGGGACGCACTCATGAGAGGGGGGGTTTGGGCAATACAACTCCCTCCAAAATTTTATATAAGCGGGCAGCGGCCTAGAAAAATTTGATTTTTATAACATCACTTATTGACTTATTATCCATACTTACATACCTACAAATGGTGATATAACTACAAACTATCCCCTCGAAAAAAGTCATGCCATTGTCCAGTTAAAGACATTTCAAGACACTTCGCTTTATTTTACACAATGTATTACCATTGATGAATTGTCCCAGTTCACACTTTGTAGGTGGTTTATCCGCAAGAATATCGAAACTAATAGTTTTACCAGTCCGAGTATATGGACAGATAAATCTTATTTTTCTAACTGCGAAGTGTTCAAATCGACATTATGAACACTACTCGTCACAGGAAAACCTACATGTTGTAGTTTCCCGCCGAAATCAAGTAATATTTTTTTTAATTAATGTATTTTATGGCATAATGGGAAGTCATGTAATTGGACCGGTAATCTTCGATGGATCTTTAACTGCTCACCATTATTTACAAATTCTCCAATAAACTTCCTTAAAGGATTTTTCTCGACAACGTATGTTTCGAAGGAAGGGTTAGTTTATGCTACCTACCAACAAACTGGCTGCTCAGGTCACAATTCACGAATTATGTACAGTACATTAAATTATAAAAGTAAGTACTTAATTAAAAAATAAAAGTAAAGTGGAAGTAGCTACCAATACAATAATAATAATAATCATCAATGGCAACACGTTGCCTAAACTAAACTGTCTTGAAGTGTGTTTCACTAATAATGGCCAGTATTTTAAACATCTGGTGTAATTATTTTCATTGTTTTGTTGCCTCGAATAGATTTTGTTTTGTTTTTTTTAATTCATCACAGCCTACTTGATTAAAATATAAAAACCGTTAATATAACTGGTATCTTATTTTCAATCTTATGTTATAATAGCTCGTTAAAAAGAGAATTTAAAAATCTATCAAGTAATCTAAAAATCCAATATGGCGCCCATTTAACTTTAGGAAGTTGGTAAATGTTCCTCAAAAGTGGCCATCTTGAATTTTTTTTGACATCAATTCTAAATTAAGCGTATCAAAGACAGTCACTTTTATATAAAACTTTTTTTTATATCTCTTATACTTTCGATGATATAAGACATTCAAGGAAATGACCAATTTTAGTTTTTTTGAATTTACGTCGAACCTATGCGACATTTTGAATTTCCATAAGGAAATTTTAAATTTCCATAAGGAAATTTTAAATAAACATCCAAAACTGCAAAATATTGCCCATTTAACCAATTCTCTATCTTTAATAATAACAAAGTTACCCATGCAATCCCACCCGATTTGGGACACACTGTATATTATATATATAAATATGGGTCAAGGGGTCAGGGGTCAAGGGTCAGGGATTGAAGATTTTAATTTAGGTAGTATGTGATAATTTTAAGGTGTTATGTGTTTCTTCATCTAATTGACGATTGTAAAGTTTCTCTGCCCAACATGAAATATATTATTATTATTATATCCTTGTAGGCTTGATTAAGATTCTCAACTTCTCTTACCTGACACTGAAGCTTATGCTTAGATTCAAATACTTACCTACACAAATTTTAATTGATTTGCATAAAACAGCCTTTACTTCACAAATGTATTATTAAATACTTATACTTTGTCACCATTAAGTACAAGTAGCTGTATGAATATTACATAAACAGCTCGATTTTATTTACACTGTAATCAAGTAAAATAAAATGATAGTAAATCCAATTACAGATCCCTGTGGAACACCATAATGAGTTCAGACTGTAAGTACTTATAGACATGTTCAAAACTATGCAAGCAACCTTCTATGTTTTTTCAGTAATGCGAGGATAGTGATACATGACAGAAAAGTATTTCTTCCTGCTGCAAAGTACTTAGTATTATGGTCTCGGTTTAACTTATCCCCAGGATAACTAAAAGCGAGACTAAAAGTGAGCAGAACACATTTTATCCATTGCGATCAAAGTATTACCTGGAACTCGATGTAGAGGCTACACTGACAATACCGAAACATCGATTTGTCTCCATCCAGAGCAAAATAAGGCAACAATTTATAGAGGCAGTGTGCAACGAAAGATTGACAAGAATTACCTTCGATGTCTTAATGCTACTCATCCAGAAAGGGTAATACCATTTCGTATTTATGAAGCAAATTTAAATCGCACCTTACGATACTAATAAAACAAGCACTTACTTGATGAGGGACAGTTTCGTCGTTCCTCGAATGCACAGCCTTCACATTTAAGGTTAGAACACAATTGTCTTGAAAATCCCAAACGAATAGCACGCCGTCGTTTATCGTTAACACATTTTGAGTCTTGATAATACTCGCCGGTAGGGATTTGCGTAAATTTTCGAATAGTTTGTGCTTATTTAACTTTAAATAGTCGGTTAAACTCATGTTGTTGATGTTTACGTCACCTCACTTGATCTACGATGTGGCGTACACTCGCACTACTAAAGTGTGAAAGCTTAGCTACGCGGGGCTATTTGAACTACTTGTACAAGCGCGGTTTATTTCTCCGTTCACATTCTCAATTATTTTAAATTTATTGGAACAGCGAAATTTAGACGAAAAAGACTACTGCTTTAGGCTTCTATGGAGGAAAATCTACACAACTTATGAAAGGTGTTTTAAATTAACATAAAACACTTATGTCATATTCTAAGGGCCTCTATGTACATTAAAGATCGCTCAATATTGGGTAAGGTACCTTTATAGTGTATATTAGTAGATCATCTGTAGGAAGGGATATTTTTATATCATTTCTAGTTCGACAATTTTTACTGATTTCCTTATTCTAAAGACAAATTAAGATTAATAATAGAAATAATAAGTTTTCGTTAATAGATTGATGTTTTATTGACCATATTTTTTGCATTTCTTCTCTTTCTTCTATTATCCTCTTCATCCATTTTTGTCCTCTTTCTCCCTCATTCACTATTTCTTTCCAGTTTTTGCTTGTTCTTATTTGTACTTACCTTTTTACAATCAATCAATGTGTTCCAAATTCTTTTCTTTCGCTCGGCATACTTTCTCCCTCTCTCTTTATTTACGCATCTGAATCTGGCTATTGTTTTAATATTTTTCCTTCCTTCTCACAGATATTTCGGTGGCCACTACCCTTATTAGCTCATTATAACTATAACTACCTCGTCCGTTTTCTATTTTCCCCCTCTGCTGTTGTAATTGTGCATCCAGATCCCTTTTTCCAGTTAGTTTTTCCTCTCTTCTCCTCCTTTCGACTTCAGAAAATGCGTATCCGCTTCTTTCATAATATTTTCCTCTTTGCGTTCATCCCCGTTGTCAAGCATTCTTTCGCCAATTCGCTTTCTCTCTATCGCCCTTTTCCTCGAATCTTTACTGCGATCATTATAATAATAATAATCATATTTATTACAATCATGGCGTAGATTCAGCAAAACGCTGCTCTTCCATCTACACAATGAGCAAACAAAGATCATTTGTACAGAGCAAAACAACGAAAGAAAACAAAATTATATTAGTAAGTAACTACTTTACTACGTATAGTGAAATGATGCATGACCAGATTGAAAGATAATAGACAATACGAACAGGAATAATCAACAGCAACATCAAACTAAAGACTAAAGGCCAAACAATTGTTATCAATTCTATTTTTGTTTCTTCATCTAGTACATAATTTGGTGCCCTAATATCTTCTTTGTACTTTCTCCAGTTCCTCCCGTTCCTTCCACCGCTACATCTCCGTACATGAGCACCTCTCCTACCATTGCATCCAACAGGTACTTTCCTGTTCTAAAATCATTCCTCCAATTCGCCACACCTTTCTCATCAGTCATCGCCACCACCTCCTTTTTCCTTAATTCTCTTATCTGCGCATTTACCCATTAGTTTTTGGCATTTGTTATCCTTAATTTCTTTTAGTTCTTCTATTCTTTCCCTGCTCCATTTCCATTCTGTCAGCCTTTTCCTTCCCATCATCTTCGACTTTTCTACATTTGATTCCATTCCTTTCCTCTCTCAATACCTTTCCATTCTTCCTAACATTTAATTCAACCTCTGCTCATCCGCGTATACCAGAGATCATATATTTCTACTTCCCGCTACTATTCCTCCACCTTGGCCCTTTCTGAATACTTTCTCCAATTTCAATGTGTCTTAAGTAGAAATTGAATAAGGTTGGACTAAGTGGGCCCTGTCTTGGTCCTTTACATGTCCCAAACACTTCGGACTCCTTCCCTTCTATTCTTAACCTCAATTTTAACTCTCCATATAGTTCATTAATCCTGCTCATTAATTTTTTGTCTACTTTCCCATCTTCCATCATCTTTCATAATTTTTTAATTCCACTTTATCAAACACTCCCTTTAATTTCATAAAAATTCAAATACCTTTTCACTTTTTTGCCATCCATTTGTGCATTGTGCCTCTCCCTTTTCTGAAGCCCAGTTCTAAAGACTCCTGTCTATTTACGATTGAACGGTTTGAAGGAGAATGTAGAACCGGGAGTCTGGGTGGTATGGAATACTCCCATCGGAAATATACCGTTGAACCTTTTTTCCTGGTTGATACATCATACCCCCCACTCACCACTTAATATCTTATTTTTAGCACTTGCACCATTATTTTTGGAAAAGAATCCTCAAATGTAACACCAGAAGTAAGTGGGTTAGAGAATTCTCTTTGAAAAGGGAAGGTTATGTCTCTTTTTCCATACCCCATGCCCAGGAGCACCCCCCCCCCCCTCCCTATTTACCGCGTTTAGCACTTGCACGATAAATTTTTGGGAATGGACTACCAGACGCAACACTAGGAGCCTGTGGGTTAAGGATTTCTCTTTAAAAAGGTAGAAAAAGCTATCACGATAGTCCTTAGGGCTAAGCGTTTTGAGGGATAATGCCATTTCTTTGGTGATTTGTCCTTGAACTGTCTCCGTTTTAAAGTGAGACTCAAATAAGTGCTTAATTTGTGTGAGAAATTAGGATTGTGCAAGATCAGACTAAGGCACATTACGTGGCAGAAGCGAACACGAAAAATCAATTCGCACGCAAGGTCGCCTGTTGAAAATTTGTATCAAATGAAAATGGAACGTTGGGTCGGTAAGGTCGCGATTGTTACGGGTGCGAGTGCAGGTATTGGCCTCGCAATCGTCAAAGCCTTGGTGGATGCGGGGATGAAGGTTGTTGGTTTGACCAGGCGCAAGGAGAAGTTAAACGTGGAAGGGAGGCGAGGCGAGTTTTTTCGATCAGACTTCTCAATCAAAAGTTATAGGCTAGAAACCAATTTCGAAAAAAAATTCAAAGGGCTGTAACTTTTGAATTAGTGGCCCAATCTTGGAACTGTTTGAAATTATGGATTCTACAGGCAACATTGTATAAGAAAATTTTTTTCTCCGGGTCGATCTGAGACAATTTTTTTTCGGGGCTCAAAAAAAGGCAGTGTATAACCTTCCTTTTTTACCAAAAATCGACTGCACCAAATTTTCTCGGGAAAACACTTTTTCTTATTAATTTTGGTGCGTAGAATCCAAAACAATTCGTACTTTTTCGATCAGACTTCTCAATCCAAAGTTATAGACTAGAAACCAAATTCGAAAAAAAATTCAAAGGGCTGTAACTTTTGAACTAGTAGCCCAATCTTGGAACTGTTTGAAATTATGGATTCTACAGGCCAGGTTCTATAAGAAAATTTTTTTTGCGGGTCGATCTTATACAATTTTTTTTGAGGCCCGAAAAAAAGGCAGTGTACAACCTTCCTTTTTTAGCAAAAATCCACTGCACCAAAATTTCTCGGGAAAACACTGTTTCTTATTAATTTTGGTGCGTAGAATCCAAAACAATTCGTACTTTTTCGATCAGACTTCTCAATCAAAAGTTATAGACTAGAAACCAATTTCGAAAAAAAAATTCAAAGGGCTGTAACTTTTGAACTAGTAGCCCAATCTTGGAACTGTTTGAAATTATGGATTCTACAGGCCACATTCTATAAGAAAATTTTTTTGCGGGTCGATCTGAGACAATTTTTTTTTCGGGGCTCAAAAAAAGGCAGTGTATAACCTTCCTTTTTTACCAAAAATCGACTGCACCAAAATTTCCCGGGAAAACACTTTTTCTTATTAATTTTGGTGCGTAGAATCCAAAACAATTGGTACTTTTTCGATCAGACTTCTCAATCAAAAGTTATAGACTAGAAACCAATTTCGAAAGAAAATTCAAAGGGCTGTAACTTTTGAACTAGTAGCCCAATCTCGGAACTGTTTGAAATTATGGATTCTACAGGCCACATTCTATAAGAAAATTTTTTTCCGGGTCGATTTGAGACAATTTTTTTTTCGGGGCTAAAAAAAAGGCAGTGTATAACCTTCCTTTTTGCCAAAAATCGACTGTACCAAAATTTCTCGGGAAAACACTTTTTCTTATTAATTTTGGTGCGTCGAACCCAAAACAATTGGTACTTTTTCGATCAGACTTCTCAATCAAAGGTTATAGACTAGAAACGAATTTAGAAAAAAAATTCAAAGGGCTGTAACTTTTGAACTAGTAGCCCAATCTTGGAACTGTTTGAAATTATGGATTAATATTATTATTATTACTGTCTTTCCATATAGTTCCTTGATTGTGTCCGTTAATTTCTTGTCAATTCTCCCAAACTCCTATTTTCGCATTTAAAAAAAACTCACTGTATATGAAGTCGATCTTTCTTCTTCCTTTTCTGAAACCCATTTGTGTTTCCTCCTCTTCCATTTCTATTTCTAGTCTTTCGTTCAGTGTCATTGCATAGATTCTATACGCCGTAATCATTATAGTACTTCCCCTATAACTTCCCACACAATCTTTGTTCCCTCTTTTGAAGATCGGCACAATTACCCCTTCTTTCCACTACTCGCACAAACCCCCTCTTTTCCATACCTGGTTTTGTAAATGTCTCATCCTTTCCTTGAGCCTATCTGTGGGGGAAATCGTCCCTGCCTGTCGCTTTCTCTTTTTTCAGTCTTTTTAGTTGCTCCTCGAACTCCTCTCTTGTTATCTACCCCTACCTTCTCTCCTGATTTCCTTGTAGTAACTTGGCAAAATGTGGTTCCCATTCCCCTAATTGTATTTCCCCTCCCACTTGTTCTATTGATCTTTTTTTCTACTTTCAAAAAATCCTTTCAAGTTTTATACCCCTGATTTCCTCTTCGTCTGCTTCTTGTTTCTTTTTTTCTTTACATTTTTTCTGGTCTCTCGCCTCTTTCTCAGCTATTTCCCCTCTGCTTTCTTTGTCCATAATTCCTGTACATCGATTTCTTTCTTCTGTACACTTTTTGTCCCACCACTCTTTTCTTTTTCTCTCCTCCCCTTCTTTAATTATCTATTTGTTCTTCACGTTATGGCTTTTTTAATGGGTACCTGTAATCGCTGTACTAGCCGCACTCTCTATAGTTCTTGCAGCTGCAGCAAATTGCACAGTAG